GACACCCCATCCCTCCCTGCCCAGTTCAGCTGGTCCTCCAGGAAGCCTTCCCAGATCGTGCGCCCTGGCGAGTCCCAGTTATGTCTCTGTCCTTCAGGGTGGGTGTGGGATCCAGGCCTCCCCTTCTCCCCACTCTGGGGACACAGCCCCTAGGCCTCAGTTTCTCCTGTGACAACAGGAGCCCGGACCCTGCCCAGGATAGAGGTGGGGTGTGCCCGGCTCGGCCTGACTCCCACTGCAGCCCAGCCCCCTGCCGTGGGAACTCCTCGCTCCCTCCAGGCCCCCCAGGCTCCCCCTCCCCCGTCTCCATCCCACCCTGTGGCCCCAACTACTCAGAGGGAGGAGCTGGGAGGGACCCCCACACACACATCCTTCTAACAAAGGTCAGACTCTGCCTTTGAGAAGCCCGGCCTTGACTTGACCTTGACCTGGCGGCCAGNTCCCACCCTGTGGCCCCAACTACTCAGAGGGAGGAGCTGGGAGGGACCCCCACACACACATCCTTCTAACAAAGGTCAGGCTCTGCCTTTGAGAAGCCCGGCCTTGACTTGACCTTGACCTGGCGGCCAGCCTCCCTGGATTTTCAGGGGTGCTGCCGTGGGAGAGGTGTTGTAACTGAGGTGGCCAGTTTTCTCCTCTGTGAAATGGGTTCACAGGCCCAGCCTGCCCACAGGCTCACCCAGTTTGGGGGCCAACGGGGGTGGTCTTGGCCCTAGGAGCCGGCCCACCTGAGCTTGTCCTTGGCGTCGCTGAAACTCTCAGACACAAAGTAGACGGACTGGTACGTCTGGTCCTGGTACGGCTGCAGGGCCGCCGCCTCGGGGTCGAAGGCCCGGATCTCGGGCTCCTCGGACAGTGAGTGCTGGAGGGAGGCCTCGGTCACAGGGCCAGCATCCCAGGGCCCCTCGGAGTAACCGGGTGAACTCCCCCTCCTCCTCCCTGGGCCCTCCCAAGGCAGGATGGGCAGAGAGCTTTCTCAGCTTTCTGGGGAGGCTGCCTTCCCTGCTGGCACCCCGACTCCCACCCTGCCCCCTTGGGGGCTCCTGTGGGGAGGGCCTCACCAGGAGCTCCCCGTAGGAGGACAGTAGCCCAGCACCGTAGGCCTTCACCTCCCCGTTCTGTTTGCAAAGCCCGAACTCCACGGTGAACCAGTACAGCTGCGGGGACAGCGCCCGTCGGCGGGGACAGTGGCTGCCCCACTGCCCCCCCCCGGGCCACCGCCCACCCAGGCGGACCAGGGCGATCCCAGCGTGAGGGTGACCCTCCCTGGACAGAAGCAGAGACCTCCACCCAGACGGAGGGGCCCGTCTTCGCCCAGGGGTCCTGAGCCCACCCACAGGCCCTGCAGGGGACGGAACCCACTGTGGACAGCTTCTCAATCTCCTCGTCTGAGGCTCCCAAGGACGCCAGGCCGATGTCCTGCGGAGGGAGGAAGAGGCTGACGGGGGAGGGCTCCCCACTATTGTGTGGGCGCCTGCACGAGGTGAGGGCCCTGGGGGCATCTGCGACCCACAGGGGGCCCTGGGCTCTCATCAAGGGCTCAGGGCGGCTCCTGCTGTACCCGGGGCAGCCAGGAGGGGGCAGCGCAGGCCACGGGACTCCTCCCCAGCGGGTCCCCTGGCTCCCCGGCCCAGGCTGACTTCCCGAAAGGGTGCTTCATGGCTTCTCCAAGGTGCTCCTCCTGGGACGGGCCTGAGCCCACCCCCCCCATGTCGGGGTGACTCAGTGTCCCTGACGTCTCTTGGGCCCTACTGGGCACAGTCCAGCCACGGAGGGGCTCAAGCACGGTGCTGGGGTGCAGGGTGGCTCAGGCCCCCCCTCAGCCCCAGGCCTGGTCCCGCAGCCCCAGCTGACCCCAACTCATAGCTTGAGGCCTCAAGGACACACCTGGGAGAACTGGGCAAAGGTGCGATCCGCCAGCATGGGCACGTGCCCCAGCAGCTCGTGGCAGCAGTCCCTGTGCCAGGGGCGGGGAGAGAGGGGTGGTGGGGCTGGGGACCAGGGCCTGCCGCCCCCCTCCCCTCCCCCATGGGGACAGCAGGCCCGGCTGGGGACCCTCCAGGTGCACTCACGGCTCCGGGGAGTGCATGGGCGAGGAGGCGTGCCGGATGTACTGGGTGCACTGGAACACGCGGAAGGCCAGGCTGGCCAGGAAGTCCCGGGCGGACAGCAGGCCGGCCACGGGCCGCAGCTGGAAGCCCGTCTGCTCTGCAGGGCCACAGGGTGGTCAGAGGCCGGGGGGGAGGCTGGGGCCAAGGCGTGGGCGGTCCCCGGGCCCTCCCGCCCAGGGGCCCAGGGCCCGGGGGCTGCACCCTTCAGGAAGCGGGAGACGTCCTCCAGCTGGGGGATGTTGTCCTCCCGGTACCCGCAGAAGCGCTCCAGCAGCTCAAATGCCGCCAGGTGCTCGCGGCAGGCGTGCGTGGCGTACAGGCCCTTGAGCGTGGTGAACACCTCCTTCCTGCAGGCGGGCAGGGGACTCAGGCCTGTCCATGCCCCGGTCCCCACATAGGGCGGCCCCGCTGGCCTCTCCTGAAACCCTTGGCCACAGGGAGGGGCCTTCACCCGAAGTTTGGGGGATTCCAGGGGACGGGGTGGGGGTGGGCAGCCCTTGGCTCCCTGGACAACCCACCCAGGCCACCTCTCCTTCCAGGCCAGCATCTGGAGCCTCAGGAAGTCCCTCCCCACTGGCCTTAGTCTGTGGTGCTGGAGGCTGCTGCCCTCGAACCTGGGGCTCTAGAAGTCACCCCCGGGCCCCCCCTGTCCCTACCCCGTCCGCCGTGACGGGTCTTACCAGGTGGCAATCTCCTCGGCCGTGTACTCCACACGGGGAATCGGGTCACCACTGCGGAGGGATTGGCAGTCAGGCAGGGCCCCCTTGGGGACAGTGTGTGGGGGGTGGACAGGAAGGACTCGGGCTGAATGCCCAGCCGGCTGTGCGGCCTCCACAAGTTGCTTGACTGCTCTGTGACTCGGTTTGCTTGGTTGGGACTTGGAGACACGTGGTGACCACAGGGACAGTGGAGGTGGTGGTGTTGGTGACAGAGCCGTCCCTTCCCCCGGGCCCCGGCAGGTCTCGGGCGAGGCTGTGGGCCAGGGCCTGGTCCCAGGGCCTGAGGCCCCGGGGGGCGGGGGGAGGGGGCGTCCTTACTGCTTGTACTGGAAGGCTATCTCGGCGATCAGCTTCCTGCGCTGGCGGTACACCTGGTCGGAGAAGCCCTGGCGGCAGAGCGGGCACCTCAGGGGGCTCCCCTGCCACGCCCCTGCCCCCACCCCCCAGCCCGGCTGTGACCTGTGCCTCCCCGGGGGCTGCACCTGCTGGGGGCCGGACACCCCTCCCGGGTCAGCCCAGGTCACGCCCACCGCAGCACACGGGACACGGTCGGGGCCGGCAGGCCTGGAGAGCCGCCCACTCACCGGGTGATCCAAGTCCAGGTCAGGATCAAACTTGGTGACCAGGTGGTGACACTTGTCCAGCTCAGAAACCTTCCTTGGGAACCACAAGGCTTCCCCGAGGACGGAAGGAAGGGGGACCCGTGAGCATCAGGCTGTGGCCGGGCGCGGCCCACCCTGGACGCAGCCTTCCCTGGACAGCCTGGGGGCCGGGGGCCCGGGACTGGGACAGCCGGAGACGCCCCAGGCCTGGGCACAGGTGGGAAACAGGAGGGCCGACCGGAGGCCGCAAGGAAGGGAGAGCCCCAGCCGTGCCACCTGGCCACGTCAGGGTTCCCCTCGGGGGCCTCTGCACCCCTGAGTTTCGGGGTCACGTGGTTGCTCTCGGGACAGAGGAGCTGCCCACCTTTGTTGTCCCCGGGGCCACGCACGTCCTCCGCCACCCGGCGCACGGAGCTCAGCAGGTTGGGCAGGTCGGCGCTGGGCACCTCGCAGCGCACGAAGTACTCCAGGTGGGGACCCCCCGCCCGGGGCCGCTGCGCAGGACGGGTCTCCAGGTGAAGGATTTGGGCTTCGAATGTCTTAAGGAGCAAGAGCGGGGGAGCGGGAGGGAGAGATGGAGAGAGACAGGGAGGGGCAAAGAAACAGGCTCCCGGGGCCCGCTTGCCCTGCCCCGGACACACAGACCCTTTGGCCTGGGGGGGGGCTGTGGCTAGGAAACGGGGTTTTGTCTCATTTGTCACAGCCGTCCCCTTGACCGGTTTTCTGGGTGGTGCCAGCTGTGTCCCTCGGCCACCCCCAGACAGCCCGACTTCCCCACCGCTGCTCAGAAGGTCCCTCCATCCTGGTGGCCTCCTCTGAGCCCACAAGCCCCACCCAGAGCTGGAGGTGGGAGGTCAGGAAGCTCAGACCCCCTCGAAGCCACACTGAGCCCCAGGGGCTGGCAGGAAGGGTCCGTCAGCTTCGTCACCCAGCAACGAGGGTGCTGGGTCTCCAGGGCCCTCCGGCCATGCAGCCGTCGTCACAGGCTCCGGAGAGCAGTCTGGCCTTAATGTCATTTGGGCGCCTGTGCCGGAGGCCAGTCTCCCACCCACCCGGCCTGGTGTGGCCTGAGTGGCCCATGCAGACAGCTGCCACATTAGCCATCAGGGACCCCGACCCCCACCTGCCCTGCTGGGAGCCATGCCCACTCCTCCGTGTGTGCAGGGTGGTGGGTGTGGGGCATGGATGGGTCCACGGGGCTTGGTGGCCTCATAGGGTTCCCGAGAACCCGGGGCTGTGATAGGGGCTGTGCCCCCCCAAAGTCCTAGCTCCCTCTCCTCTGCGGCCCTCAGTGGCCTGAGTCCCGCTCACACCGGCCCCCAGGTGCCCACCATGGGCCCACTGCCACCTTCACCTCAAACGCCTTCAGGGTGCGGGAGAGGGGAGCGGGCTTGCCCCCCCGCAGGGTGAAGAGCAGGTCCAGCCGGGCCTTCCCGTCCCGCTCCACGCAGGCCCCGGCCCCCAGGGGCTCTCCTGGCTCCGCGGCGGCGGCCGCGGCCTCTGCCTTCTCCCGCTCCTTGCGCGCGTCCTCGATGAGACTCTGCCTCCGGCCGATGAAGCGCGGGGACTGTGGGGACAGGGCAGCCCAGCTCTCCCGCGCCCTGGGGCCCTGACTCACCAGCCCAGCCGCATCGGTGAGCACCTACTGTGTACACCGGAGGGACCGGCTGGCCGGGCACAGCCTCAGCCCAGGCCTCCTGGCGCCGAGGGGGTGGGGAGGCACCCACGGCTCCGAGATGCTGTGGCCTGTCCCCAGGCCTGTCCCTAACTGGATTAGGTGGCAGGAAGGAGTGACTCAGGAGCCTCAGCTGCTGCCCCTCGGCTCCAAGGTGGACAGCGGCCAGAGCCCGGGGTGGGGGGCAGCGAGCCTGGCCTCTGCAGAGCAGGGAGCCGCCCCCACCTGGCCCAGGTGCCCTCGATCCGGCCTCTCGTAGGAGTGACCTCTCCTCATGGTCCCTCCCAGCCCCTCCCCACAGCACAGGGACACCTGGCCACACTCCCCCTGCATCTGGACACCGGTGCTCCTGTCCACAGCCTGTCCCGGAGACTGTCAGCCCCTCGGGTCAGCGAGTCTGATGCCTCCCCGACCCCCTGCACAGAGCTCCCAGGCCTGGACGAAGGAGGAGTTGGGGGGGTGGGTGTTGTATTCCCTGGAGCTGAAGTTCCAAGAAGGTTCTGGTGCCCTTGGGTCTGGAGCATGGGAGGTGTGTGCATGGATCCCCTCTCTGGGTCCCCACTTGACCTTGGGGTGTGGACAGAGCCAGGGCCCTGGGCCTCCACGGACCCCCCGAGGAGGTGCCTGCTCATTAAACCTCTGGAACCCAAACCATGTGGTGGTTCAAGGTCTAAAACAAAAACCCATTTTAAATGTTCAGGGAGCTGGTCATTCTGGGGCACCCTGGGGACAAACTGAAGACCCCTCTCCCAGGCCCAGGAGCCCCCCCCACAGAGGGGCCGGCTGAGCGGGTCTGCCCAGCACAACCCTCTTGAATTCGGGGCTCCCAGGTGGCAATGGCTTGGGGACCGTCCTGGGAGGTCGGGACGCCCAGGGCTGCTAAGCAGGGGCTGTGGGACACGAAGGGCGCTCATTTTCGCTGGGACGTGGGTGCATGGCGGTGGATGGGTGATGATGAAGGGATTTGCCCCAGAACCCAGGACACCCTTCGGCTCAGGCCGCCATCCCCTAGGGGCCTGCACCCCCCCCTGTGAGCTGTGCCGGGGCCTGGGACACCCTCACACACAAGCTGGGTCCCGACGACCCACCCACACAGACTCAGAGACCCAGACCCAGGGGGTGCCCACCCAGCCCGGGCAGGGGACGTGCTTGTGGCCCGGTCTCCCCGTCAGGCCTGGGTCCGAGTCGTCCGTGTAGACCCTGAGCCTGGGGACGCCTGGGCTTCTGGTCCACTTCGGCCAGTGGGCGCCCGCTGCCCTCTTACCATGATGGCCTCGGCCTGCTTGGCGTCCAGCTCCGAGACGGCCCTGCGGAAGCCCTTGGAGGGCGGCGTGGCGGCCCTGGGGGTGGGCATGGCACCGGCGAAGCTCAGGGTTCAGGGCTCTCTCCACAGCCCGCGGCCCGGCAGCCTCTTATAGGCTGAGCTGACGTCAGAGTCCCCCTGGGTCCCCCACCTCCCGCCGCCTTCCCATCCCTCTCCCGCCTGCTGCCGCCCGAGGGAGGCGGGGTGGGCTCGGAGCAGGGAGCCGGCTCTGTCCCATTAAATCTAATTGCCTCCACTGTCACCCGCGGCCTAGCGCGCCTGAGTCACGTCGGCTCCGGGGGGCCTGCTCTGCGGGCCGGGGGCAGCTGGAGTCCCCCGGCCCACCAGGCGGGTGACTGGCGGGGATGCGGGGAGGCTCCCCACGGCCGTCTGCTGTGCAGAACCTGCACCTTGGGGCAGGTGCGGGAAACCAGGAGGAGAGACTGGGCTCCTACCCCGGGTGTCGGAGGCGATCTGCTTTTCTAGACGATTCTTCCCTTCACCAGTCTCCCAACAGGGTCCCACCATGTGTTTCCACCAAGAGCCGTCCGCAGAAGTGCTCTCGGCCCCCCCCCCC